AGTCAGTCACCTTCTCTTTCGCCATCCGTTTCCAAAAGTTCATCAGGCAAGTGACCTGCTAACTCTCCCCTCTCTCTATTTCCCTCGATGCTCACTGTGAGTGTTAAGTTTTCCAAGCCTTCCTTCCTCATTATATGCCAAAGTATTCTACTGTCTCTTTCTCATTCTTAGTATAAGTATTCTTCTTTGTTACCATTTTTCTTTAAGACCTCATCACACCGTCTCTGGAAATCTGAGTAACCTTCTGTTTGTTTATCATCTGTATTGAGTTTATCCAGTATTTATTTTCATGAAAGAGTATTGATATCACATAGCAATTCAGCACTCTTTTCTTTGTTTCTAATGACTTTTCCTGTTTCTTAGTAGTTTGTTTAGATTTTTGAATGCTTTTTTTTCGCTAATCCCCATTTCGATGTCATATTATCCATTCTCTGTTAACACACCAGATATTTAATCTTCAGTACTTGTTTGATTTGGATTTCTCCAGTTTGTATTTCGCATCTTGGACTTATTCTCTTGATGCCAATCATAATTTCTGATTCCATACCACATATCAAACGAAGCTTCCAATAGAAGACAACGATGCAGCTTTCCATCCCAAGGCCAATGTACTGATGATGATTGGGGCTATGCTGAGGACATAAGTATTCATAATTGGGATGAGAATGATCTTGAACAGAAACTCAACATCCTCTATCAAGTGTTACAAGAAATAGGACTCAAAATAAACCTTTCTAAAACAGAAACTATGATCTGGAATTGGAATGAAAGCACATAACCTGAATTCGTCATAAAAAAAAAAAAACAGGATAAATACTAAACCTTTCAAATACCTCAACGTATGAATCAGTTATAACGAATTTAGCCTAGGAGAAAATGAAGTTGAACACAGAGTAATCAGATAGGTCATGTAGTTTTATAAATAAATAAATGGGAGAGCTCTTTCACAACGGAGGAGGGAAACCTATAACCCACAGAAATATAGAAGGGCCTGAAATATTAAAGTCTGAGGGAATATTGGAATGGGATTTTAATAGAAATGCTATCAGACGATTTGGTGATCGACAAAATCATAGAAATAAATACAACAGTGGTGACATAAAGTAAGATCTTAGCAAACACAACTTCATAGCACTGCTTAAGAAGCCAGGTGTGAATGAATGTGGGCTCCATTAGTCAATCCGTTTTACTAGCAACATAATTTAGCTTATCCAGAATCTGATGAATAGAACACAGAATAATTAGAGCGGGAATAGAACAAGTACAGTGAAGATTCGTTAAAGACATAGGGACAAGGCATTCCAACGTCATAATCAGATTGCTAGCAGACGTAGTAGTAGACGTCATATAAAGATTACTGATAATCTTTATATGACGTCTACCTTCAGGACGATCATGGCTATCCATAATTTCTTGTCCTTCGTAGCTGTTAACAAAATTTTGTGTTTTTTGTTATTTTCATAACCTTTGTTCTGTCATCCATTCACTTAAGCTTACTAAGTACATTTTATGTTGTTTTTCTTTGTTCCTCTTGCCATCAATCGACGCATAAAGGAAGAAATGGCTCCTAAATGAAATGTTTCATGATATATGAGAGAAAAAAAAAATTAAAAGTTCAAAAAAAAAAAAAAAAAACTTACAGATATCCGTTGAGTTCGTTTGCCACAGTTGTTGTTAACGGAAACATATTGTTACTACAGGCTTTACCAAGGAAATCATCCATGTCAAGAGTCCATATCGAGGCTCCTCCGAAGCCATTTTGTTTCAACCATTGACTCTGAGTGAAAAAAAAAAAAAAAGAAAAGAAAAGAGAAGGAAAATATAAAATCTTGATAATTTCTGTCTGAAAATATCCTAATAGATTAAAGCGTGAATTTAGTGACATAGTAATTGTGAGTTCAATCCAGGGCGATCAGTAACTGAAAACTACTAAAAATAAGAACTAGATGAGATATAGTTTGTGGAACGGAATAGTTAACCACTGTAGATTAAATAAAGAGTTTAGTTTAAAATACACTGTAGGTTACCCGGGTAGGCATACTATAGAAACTTCGTGTACTTAAAGAAATCCAGTAGAAGGAGAGAAATGAAGGAATTTAACTGTAATCTTTCGACGAAAATATCTTTCATTATATTATTTCGTCTTCACAGAAAAATTATTGACATGAGTTCCAGTCGACGCCATCTGATTGAAGGGGAGTCAAAATTTGCACATGTTTTCTAAAATATTTAACTAAAGGCTGTATTTTTATCTTCCTTCGTTACGACCTTACTCTCTCTTTCGAAGCTGACTAGACGTGTTTACCAAAACTGTTAATGAGTCTTATTTTCCAACGTTATTTCTACAAAGAGAATTACTTGTAGGCAACATATAGTGTTTTTGTTGCAATTTTTTTAACAAGTCAGAATTTGTTATCATTTCTTTCCTTGTTCGCTGAGTTTCGCTTCAAATGCTAATAGTTGCCATTATAGTTTATCTACCTTCCCTTTCCCCAAACAGTCGGACTTGAAATTCTGACAATACACCTGATGAAGGCGGGAGGGCACAATGACCGAAGCGTTGAGATATCAACAACAAAGATGAAGACAATAAGTGTGGAAATAAGTGAATCTATTGCTAGGTCTGCTGCGAAGAAAATCAGTTCGTTGTGTCGTGGTAGAGAATTTTTCTCTCCAGAATCTATCTTGCATATTTATAAGTCTACCATTCATCCATGCTTAGAATGTTTCTGCCAAATCTGGCTCGGTGCTTCAGTTGTATAGAGATTTAGAGATTCTAGATAAAATCCAAAGAAAAATAAGTTATTGATTCTGACCTGGCGTCTGGGCTTCAGTCACTTTCCCATCACTGTAAAGTTGCATCTCTGTGCCTTTTCTATAAATACGTCTATGAAAACTTTTCAGACGAATTCTTCGCTATGCTACCGAGGCTTTACGAATTTAAGCGCATTACTAGATTAGCCTCCAGGCGTCATCAATTTACAGTTGACTTGGCTAGACCTAATCGTAGGTTCTATGCTAACAGTTTCTTTTCTCGCACTTCTCGCTTGTGGAAATCCTTTTGGCTTCATGCTTTCCAGTTGACTTTAATCTTCAAAAGTTTAAATGCAATGTCATTCCTTACCTACTGTCTTCCTGATTATTCTTCTAATGAACTCAATCCTTACTAATATTTCTGCTTTCTAATTCTTTCACATTCACTAACCTCTCATAATGGTTTTATCGCCTTACTTAGATTTAATCTATTTCATCTTGACAAATTTAAATGCAATGTCAATAATTATCTACTGTATTGATTACTCTTCTATTCATATCACTACCTAATGTTTATTTTTTTTTGTTCTTCCAGGCGCAGTAACACTTGTGTCTTAGTGGCTTTATTGCCTTGCTTAGTGTGATATGATTAAAAAAATGTAAAATAATAAAAATTTGAATTTAAAAGCTTAATAATGGTTTTTGACGAGATTATCATCAAACTTTATCAAAACATAAAATGATCGAGATTGCTTCTGGGTTAACTATTGATAACCTTAAGGTGAAAGAGACTGTGACGAGGGCGCTGGAAATGTAAACTTTGAAAGGTTACAAGGAAGTGACTGCTACATCACAAGAGCATTGATGTAGGAGATTAGAGTTTTGTATCCGAAGATGCATTGGGAGAGCCTAAAATGCCTTCCAAAAGCTAAGCAAAGTATTAAGAGACAGAAAAAAATCGTTAGAAACTAAGAAAAGAGTACTGGACTGTTACATCTGTACTCCTATGCAGTAGTGAATGCTGGACAATCTGCTCAAAGATGAAAAAGAGAATTTAAGCAACAGAAACATGGTTCTACAGATGTTATGGTCCAAGTTCCACGGTGATGGTCCAAGGTTAGAAACAATGAAAGAATAACACGAACACAGGTATAGAATACAAAGATATATTACAACAGAAATATAATACAAAGAAGTAGAAGTATTAGTAATGACTATCAGATTTGGTTAGAGTGAACTATGTTGTCTCGACAAGTATCACTATTCCAATGTCCTTACAATATGCTCTCAATTATCTCTCCTCGTCTTACAATCTCCTCCATACCTCTTGAGAGGCGCAGTATTTATAATGTCAGGAATAGTCCATTATTATTATCATGGGTAACTTCCCATAACAACAGAAAGATGCTAAGGATACTATGAAGCGAACATTTTAGCAACTACGAGGTTTTAGAGAAAATAGAAAGTAAAAATGAAATTTATACATAATATAAAGAAGAGACAGTTAAAATTTCTGGGGCACGTACCGAGGAAGGAGGGCTTAGAAAATCTGACACTCACAGGACAGACTGAGGGCAAGAAGTGCATAACATAATGGATGGCGGAAGAGGATTTAGGAGAAACAACAAAAAGGCAAAATTTATTAAGAGTTAGAAAGGACAAGAAATTGTGGAGAATCATAATCGCCTACGTCATGAAGGGACACGTCCCATAAAGAAGAAGATGATTTGAAAATAAATAAATGTCTATCCTGAAAAGTTCTCAAAGATTTTGGAAAGAAAATACTATTAATTGACAGTTTTGAATGCGAAAGATTTACGATCGAAACCAAACATAAAAGTAATTATTTGTCTGTCACCATCTTTTTATAATACAATTCAAATACGCGTGTTGGCTTATGATGCGACATTTTTAAGAAATTAATACTCAATTTTAAGCAGCGTCTCATTTTTAAAGCAAAGTAAATGAACCAAAATGTGTTCCCTTTCAGACCTGGGTGATCATGGCAACCCAAAACCTCTTTTTTGTTGTTGTTGTTGTTCTCTATAATTCTTGCTCTTTTAGCATTTTGTCTTCATGATATTCCTTCTGTCGTCCATTTATCAAGCTCGTCAAATTAGTCCACGCTAATTTTTACCGCTTTTGGCTTTTCTAAGTGTTAAATAACTCAAGCCTTCTTTTCGCATTATGGGTTCGCAAAGATTCAGTTATCGTTTTTTGATTGTTAACGATATTTTATATGTAAGGTTCCTACATAGAAAATAGTAATAATAAAACCAATATTACTTTGTTCACATCTATCTATCTATCTATCTATCTATCTATCTATCTATCTATCTATCTCAGTATGCTCATATCTATCTATCTATCTATCTATCTATCTATCTATCTATCTATCTATCTATCTCTATGCTCATATCTATCTCAGTCTGTTCATATCTATCTATCTATCTATCTATCTATTTCAGTGTGCTCATATCTATCTCAGTCTGTTCATATCTATCTATCTATCTATCTATCTATCTATCTATCTATCTCAGTCTGCTCATATCTATTTCAGTTTGTTCATATCTATCTATCTATCTATCTATCTATCTATCTATCTATCTCAGTCTGCTCATATCTATTTCAGTTTGTTCATATCTATCTATCTATCTATCTATCTATCTATCTATCTATCTATCTCAGTTTGCTCATATCTATCTATCTATCTATCTCACTCTGTTCATATCTATTAATCTATCTTTTAATATCGTTGCATCTGATCTATCTCTCTATCTTGTTTGTACTAAAGTTCACCCAATGCAAGGCTCATTACGGAATGAAATATGTGGTAAGAGGAAATGATGATCAAGTGGATAAAGAGAATGGTGATGGCACTTAGAAATGAAGAGGTGAAGAATGTAGAGTTCCGGAAAGCTTTTACGCGGGAGATTCTTCCATAAAGTAGTTCACCGGAAAAAAAAACAAACTATCTGGATGGATCTTCATTCTTACGAACGGAATAATTAGTGATACAACTTCGTAGGCGTAGTAGGGCGAGTCTTCGCTGTAAAGGTCTGAACTGGTGGCACAAAATCATGGAGGTCGTCTGAACATTTGGCATAGAATTAGCGATAGACTAAGCAATAGACTTGTTTCATTGCCTCTGTGGAAAAAAAAGGATACACGTAATTATTTTGTATGCATAAAATAATTTGACCTACATCAAGCCCTGATATTGACCCTATGGACTTTGCGATATGGTACATATTTGAGACCTACGTTTCACATATGCCATACTCAAGTGTGTCAGACATGAAAGAAACTCTTGGTACATCGTGATAAAATTTGAACGAAGAGCTGGTGAAGAAATCATACACATCAGTTGCGAAGAGATGAAGTGCTATGATGAAAGCAAAGGGTGGTCATTTTGAATTGTAAATCTATCTAAAATATTGTCTCTCTATATGTAATAAACAACCATTAAACTTTCTGTTGTTTTCAAGTCAATGAGTATTTTCCCCTCTTTTCTTATAGGCAGAAGGACACAGGTGCATGCTGGGATTTTTTCCTGGCCAATAAAATAGACCGGTTCTCGGATTCATCTGATGCAGTTCTAGTCTGTCTTTTCTGGAAGTCAAAATGCTTCGTTCGCTTGTCCGAACTTGCTTTTGTGTGTCGAAACCAATTCTTAAATTGTGAACTTTTTTGCCATATTACAATTGCTTTGCTTTGAATATTGTTTGCTTATGTAGTATCGTATGCAAATTGGATAAACAAGTATAAATAGAGAACATCTGGCGAACATAGATGGCTATGCCTAGCAAACCCGGTTGCTATTCAGGACATGGAGAACAGCGCTACGACTACTACTACTACGCAGAGAGATATGCAAAACATAGCAGCTTATTTTATATCTTTTTCCCCTTTTCTTTTTTCTTGTTATTGCTTATTGCAAACTTTGTCGTTCCTGTTTGTAGGACAATTCTGTTATTTATTTTGCATTTGATCATGGTTACTCACTCCACACTTTCATTAACCAAAATTTAAAACTTTTTTTTTTATCTTATGCTAAAATTAATAATATTAATTAATATATACCTATCGGGTTTGGCGTGTTTTTGGTTAGCGACATATCATCTTCTATGTGTCATTTAATCCTGAAATCTAAATATTTTGAAATCAATTGTATACCTTCAACTACAAATAAAATATATTGTTGGTCATTTTACTATAGAATATATTGTTGAGAAATCTAGGATAAATATGTATTTTTTTTATAATTTTACTATAAATATATATTGTTGGTATCTTTTTTAATATAAAAATGTATTGTTGCTGATTTTAGGATAAAAATGTATTTTTATACCTTCATAGTGCTTTGCTTTTGTTTTTAATAAAAATAAAGATCAGGCAATCTTGATTTATTTGGTAAGGATATAAGCATAATCCAGAAACTATACTGGCAGCAAACCGCCTGCATACGGATACAAAATGGATTAAGTAAATACATGAACATTGCAAGGGGTTTCAGACAAAGATGTGTCTTCTCACCAGACTTAAACTTTATAGTGACGTAACCCTGAAAGTGTTAGAATTACTGCCAGGATTCATTACTGATAGCCACAAGCTTAACAATATTAGACAAGCAAATGACACAGTATCGATAGCAAACACAGAAGGAAAACTATATGACCGTTTGTATGCTTTCCTTCTTGCACTGTCTATGAAATAATAAGGCTATTGGAGATTTTTCAAAGTATTATCGTTTCACATTTCTTCTTTATGTAGATATTCAGAGTTGTAGATTCTTAGTATTCTTGAATAAAATCCTATAATTATGAATTTATTCTATTACAGTGGTTATAATAATAGTTTATGAGGTCACATTTTGTTGGTAGATTTTCAGTAAATCTTTAATTTGGAGATCGTCAATGTCTCTATTTAGTATAATATCAATGTCTCTATTTAGTACAATATCAATGTCTCTATATAGTATAATATCAATGTCTCTATTTAGTATAATATCAATGTCTCCATATAGTATAATATCAATGTCTCTATTAGTATAATATCAATGTCTCTATTTAGTACAATATCAATGTCTCTATTTGGTATAATATCAATGTCTCTATATAGTATAATATCAATGTCTCTATATAGTATAATATCAATGTCTCTATTTTGTATAATATCAATGTCTCTATATAGTATAATATCAATGTCTCTATTTGGTATAATATCAATGTCTCTATATAGTATAATATCAATGTCTCTATTTGGTATAATATCAATGTCTCTATTTGGTATAATATCAATGTCTCTATTTGGTATAATATCAATGTCTCTATATAGTATAATATCAATGTCTCTATTTGGTATAATATCAATGTATCTATATAGTATAATATCAATGTCTCTATTTGGTATATCAAATTCTCTATATAGTATAATATCAATGTCTCTATATAGTATAATATCAATGTCTCTATTTGGTATAATATCAATGTCTCTATATAGTATAATATCAATGTCTCTATTTGGTATAATATCAATGTCTCTATATAGTATAATATCAATGTCTCTATTTGGTATAATATCAATGTCTCTATATAGTATAATATCAATGTCTCTATTTGGTATAATATCAATGTCTCTATATAGTATAATATCAATGTCTCTATTTGGTATAATATCAATGTCTCAATTTAGTATAATATCAATGTCTCTATTTGGTATAATATCAATGTCTCTATTTAGTATAATATCAATGTCTCTATTTGGTATAATATCAATGTCTCTATATAGTATAATATCAATGTCTCTATTTGGTACAATATCAATGTCTCTATTTGGTACAATATCAATGTCTCTATATAGTATAATATCAATGTCTCTATTTGGTATAATATCAATGTCTCAATTTAGTACAATATCAATGTCTCTATTTGGTATAATATCAATGTCTCTATTTGGTATAATATCAATGTATCTATTTGGTATAATATCAATGTCTCTATTTGGTATAATATCAATGTCTCTATTTGGTATAATATCAATGTCTCTATATAGTATAATATTAATGTCTCTATTTGGTATAATATCAATGTCTCTATTTGGTATAATATCAATGTCTCTATATAGTATAATATCAATGTCTCTATTTGGTATAATATCAATGTCTCTATTTGGTATAATATTTTTACTGTTTAATGGTAATGTGTAATGACTTTCGGTTTTAAAAGCAAAATCTATAGCGTGTTCAACGCTATTAAGTTTACTTAGAAGGTCTGATAAAATTGCATCATGATGACGTTATTAGAATACCATCTATGTAATTAAAATAAGAACAGTTTGAGGTAAAATATTTTTGAAAAGAACACCTTCGAGAAACTCTAGAAAAGACGAGCTTAAATGTTACTGAATTTTTTTAAAAAAAGAAGTTATTTTGGAAAAAACAGTGATTATAAACCAGTTCAATGCATCGGAAGTATCGCCAAATTAAAATGACTCAAAAAAAATCCGATTATATTTATATCAATGAAAAGAAAGTTACTGTGCATTGTAACTGTTTTCAATAAAGTAAACAATCTAAAACAAAAATATCAGAGTGGATATTTAATTCTACTTGACTTGGTAGAGTTATGCCATCGATACTGATACAAGAAATAATCATTATTTTAATTTTTTTTTATTTTATCAAAAATTAAGTACACTAGATCACGAATATAATACTTTTTATTATTTTTTTCAAAGTTAATTTGGAGTTCAGTTTTCTAAGTACATTAATTCAAAATTTACCTCCCCACCAATGTGGACGCAGGGACAAACATTCTTATACGACTTCTTAAAGTGTATAAAAATATTTATATTTCTAAAGCTCGTAATCTGAATTTTTTTTCATGTATTACTATGGACTATTAATATATTATATACAGTATTACATTACTATTATATATTATATATATATATTACTATTATATTACTATTACATATTATATATATTACTTAAATTACTATTATATTACTATTTTATATATTACTATTATATCACTATAATATATTATATATATTACTATTATATCTATAATATAATATATTATATATATCACTATTATATATTTCTATTATATTAATATTATATCAATATTATATATTATATATATTACTATTATATTACTATTGATTTAGGCATTCAACCTAGTGCAATGGCGGATAAGCTTGTCTCGCTAATTACGATTACTTAAATGTATAGAAACACTCATTTTTTTTAAAATTCGTAATCTGGAAATTTTTTTATTTATTTTTATCGATTTGGTCACTTCGGCCTAAAGTAATGATAATTTTCTAAGCGTAGCTAAGTTGTGACACAAGGCCGAAAGAATAGGAGCACCCCAGTAAGGATCGAACTCACTACTCAGCCGTAATTGTTCTAACGAAACAAGTTAAAATGATTTTCTAAGCATAGCTTAGATGTGGCACAAGGCGGAACGTGTCAGACACCCAGTGAGGATCAAACTCACTTCTCAGTCAAAACTGATCTAGCGAAACAAGTTTGCTAACCATTATACCATTTCGAGGTGCACAAAGATTTTCTAAGCGTAGCTTAGATGTGGCACAAGGTTAAAGGTATGAGCACCCAGTGAGAATCGAACTCACTCCTCAGTAGCAATTGTATTTAGTGAGTTTGTCTCACTAGATCAATTACGACTGAGTAGGGAATTTGATCCGCACTGGGTGCTCCATAATTTCGGCTTTGTACTACATCTAAGCTACGCTGAGAAACTCAATTTAGCTTTATCTCGTTAGAACAATTTATTTCTTTTATTTTAAGAAACTACGTCATTTGAGCTTATTTTGTTTTGGGCTTCTGTAAGGGTGAAACATTAACAAAGAGTTCAAACAGGAAACCCCTATTAACTTTTATAAAATTTAATAAAAAAAAAAAACTTTTATTTTTTTATATGCGTGATATGGAGAAACAAATTTATGATTACTTCTGTTCTCATTGCCTGTTACACAGCTCTATCCTTGATTGAAGTAATGTTATTTGTTTTCTAAATTACCTTTAATTTAATACTCGTGGGATTATCGTATCCAATCCATTGATCATCTGTAACAGCGTAAGGTACGAATTGTTCAGTGACCCAGTTCACTTTGGCCTTTTTGTTCAGTTCGTTGCATACCTTGAAAAATAAGAATAAAACAATTAATACACTCCTTTTCAATTCTGCTTTTTAAACATCCTACACCTGAAGAGGACAAACATACAAAACATAAAAAAACAATAACATGACCTACATAGTCAAATATTTCACCTTTACTATGAAGCATTGACTAACAAGTTCATAAGGCAGGTTAAATATTTCAGGTTGTGAGTTTCATTTCGAGGGAATGCTCAAATACTGTGGCACAATACCACACTAGCATAAACCTAATACATACCTAATAAATACTTATATATATATACACAGAGGAAATCTTTATGTTATTATTGCTATTGAGCAATGGTTAATAAGACCAAATCGGTGATGCTGTCCGTTAATGTAACCGTGTACTAAAATATTGTAAAGGTGATAATGAATTATGGACGTATAAAGGTAATGTTTAAGTGGATACCGGTCATGGAGCAATGGTTAGCATGTTCATTTCACAAACTCTTTAGTTCTGTGCGTTCGATTCGAAGGGAAATGCTCCAATACCGCGGCCTTGCCCTAAACTAATAGAGTAATCCGAACAAAATTTAAATGCAACGTCAATCACCATCTTTTGTCTTTCTGAACACTATTACTGTTATGGTCCAGGTTAGGTCCAAGGAAGGACAACACGAACACAAGAGTAGAAATAACGAAGGTATATTACACGAAATAATAATACAAGATGTGGAAGGTGTTAGTATGACTTTCAGTCTGGTTTGGAGTGAACTACTATCGGCTCGACTCGATTCGGTATCTAGCCCCCCCCCCACGAGGGTTGCATGTGGCACAAGGCCGAGTTTAACATGGGTTTCCCGAGCCCGTAGGCTCGGCCAAAAAATGCCCGGAGAACCCGTATAAACGGGATCGGGTTGGTCAACCTCCCCGAACGAGACTCGTCCGGGTTCTTCTCTGCTCAGAGGCAGAGAGTTCGACCGTCAAACCGAGAAGCTCGGCTTCATCGACCCTCTCTCTTGAGAGGCGTAGTATACATAGTGTTAGGAAGAGTTCATTCTGTAGTTATAGGTAAGGACCAATGACAATTACTTTATTGTCCTTTTCTCAACTTCTGTTCACAAAGATCTCATTCTCATTCACTCTCTGTAACCCGCTGCGTCCTAGTGGCATTATCGCCTTCCTTGGGATAAATTTATATATATACATATATATATATATATATATATATATATATATATATATATATATATATATATATACATTTCATTGAATACGTCAGACAGGGTGCTTTGATTAATATTCTATACAATTTCTCATGCGATCTAATAATGTTCTCATTTTCAGATGATAAATTACATAAAAATTGTCCGAATTTTTTTTTATATGAGCGCTTTCTTTTAACTGTTAACTAAGAAATAGAAATATTTCATCCTTGAAAATGGATAAATGTATAGCCGCAAGTGCTTGGAAAAAAGAACATTCGGTCAGTTTTTATATAATTTATCTTCTGAAAAGAAAAGAAAATATTAGATCACATGAGAAATTGTATAAAAAAAACTAAATCAGAGTACCTTGTCTGTCGTATTCAATGAAATGTGCATGAAAGAAGGATTACTGCCTAAATACACACACACACACACACATATATATATATATGTATATAAATAAAAAGAAAGAACAGTAAGATATATAATCCGGTGTTCTTATAGATATTTTTATTTTTACAAAATAGTGATCAATGTAAATTTACAGTGAAATGGAACTAATGTCTTTAATTTAGTTACAAAATTAAATTCGGGGCTTTTAGCTTCCATTTTTGAAACATGGTTAGAACTGTGTAGCGAAAAAACATATTTTAAATCAATTAATTTATAATATATATATATATATATATATATATATATATATATATATATATATATATAAATGAAATCTTTGATTCTCTACCATGGTGCAATGGTTAGCAAGTTCATAACACTGGCCAACTACAGCCTGTGTGAAGTTATTATGTAAATCAAATAAACCTCAATAACTGAAGTTCTGAACCAATATTTGTCAAATTTAAACTCGTCCATTTCCATCCTCAGTAAAATATTTAACAATATTTTATGCCATTTTTAATGGTTAGTTTTTGAGCTATTTGGAATGTACGAAAATGCACTGACTGAAGCTAATATGTAGATTAAACTTGAGTGAGGGAATGTCTACATTGGAGATATCAAAATATGAAAGGAGCTTTGCAGAGATCATCGAACGATAAAGAAGTCAAGTGTAAAATATAAGTTGAGAACTCGAAGCAAAGGAAAAAGGCTTTAAGAACTCGCTTCCTCGAGATAAACGTAAATTAAAGCGAGTCATTGTGAAATAAACAGTTTTGACCAGCGCTCAAATCTATGAAAAGGTTGGAATTAAAGAAGTCAAGATAGACAAAAGGTGCAGAATACTTTGGGATATGTAAAAAGAAATCTCCTAGGCAAACTAACTTAAGCAGAGCGTCAAAATTGGTCCTAGAATTACATGAAAATTCAATTTCTAAAGTAATTTTTATGGATGAATCTCGAGTGGTGTTTGAATGACATGATGGATGGACCAAAGGATGAATTTTATTCAATCCTGATGTTTCTATGACTACAAGAAGGCAACAAGAAGATGGTAGTGTTATGATATTGGCTGGAATTGTCGACCAAATCATTACTGGTCTATTCAAAGTCGATGAAGCAGTTAAACTGAATAGTGCTAATTATTTTATGAACAAGTCTTTCTTTCTATGGTTCAAGTTCCAAGTTTCAAAGTGAAGAGTGTATTAAGGTATGACAGTGCTTCTTCTCGTGTATATACGGTTAGTCTGTTCATATCTATCTATCTATCTATCTATCTATCTATCTATCTATCTATCTATCTATCTTATAATAATCTGGGCAGATTGAGACTTGCGTATGGCTATCATGAATGGGACCAAAAGATATATAGGCTGTCAGTTGTATACAAGCGTTCTATCTATCTATCTATCTATCTATCTATCTATCTAGTCATTTCATATCTATCTATCTATCTATCTATCTATCTATCTATCTATCTATCTGTTCATGTCTATCTATAAAAACCTGTGTCTTCAGATCTCATAGCAAATAGATATTTACTTATTAAGATTTACATTATTATCATTCCAGGTGTATATATTCTTATAAACTCTTCTGACTTTGAAATACGTCAAATTCTTTTAATTTTGAATGAGTAATGATTATTTTATAATCTGATTATTACATAAAGTATTGCAGAGAATAGCGAATAAAATCTCCGATGTTGGAAAATCAACGTTTAAATTTTAAAATCCACTTCTATATATGCACACTTTTACAGTGTTACTTACCTCGAAGAATGCCAGCAATCCCTCTTCCTTCGTGTAGAAACCAGCCTTACCTGCACCAGCAATAAGTGCACCCACGTTGGTGTCTGTTCTGGAGTTTAAAGTAAAAGTCCTCGCATAGGTAGCTATGCCAATGTTTAATTTTGTGGGGTCAGCACCTTTTTGGATCCAATAATGAGCAGCCCAGTCCTTAATAATAATAATAATAATAATAATAATAATAATAATAAAAAATCTATGTAATTTAATTTTCTTTTTGTCAGTGGAAATGTCATGACGTCATTTCTAACCTTAGGTCCCTGGGCTGGACCCGGAAAGAAATGTGTAAACGCCAGAAATCAAAGAAAATAAAAATAATAATAATAATAATAACAACAACAACAAAATTATTATCAAAGTTGAAAAAAGTGACAAAAATATCTCCGCGTAGATTTAGAAAAACTAAGCAAATACAACGATCGTCAGATGGAAATAGAAAAAAAAAATGAGTCACTTAAAAACTACAAACTTTCTGCATTGGTTGGAGCTTTGGACCAGATAAAGAAAGTGACTTTAGAAAAAAAAAAAAAAAAAAAATCAAAAGAATTCCTGGTACACCATTTCTCCAGAAAATAAAAATAAGACTTCTAACAATCACAGTCCTTATCCTGAAAAGTGTTTTCTCTATTTATTTATTTTTTGTTGTTGATAGCTGTCTTTTGTTTAAATAAGAGGAAACAAAAAAAAAATCAGATCCTTCACTTGGCCCACGTCATAGGTTATGACCCAGCATATGAGTATAAAACAAATTCAGGTCAAGATTAATTATATAATTAAGATAATAATACTAATAAAGAACTTGAGGCTAAACCATGCCTGACTCTCACAGTTTCTTGTCTTAACTCAATGGATATGATAACATGTAAATGTTTTGTCTTAGTGAATTAAAATGGCTACAATAAAGTTACTATTCAGTATCATAGATTATCTTATCGCTTGTGTGATGTTAATATCGTAACTTTTGTGATGTAAGCAACTTTTGATGAATCACCATAGCACTTATGAAATCTTATCACTCAAAGTCAACTATTAAGTACTTTATTATTAAAAATTCACTTAAATTTTATATAAAATTTTATGTATATTAATTGCCAGTATTAATATCTAGCAATATTAATTTGATTATAATACGTGTTCGATGGAGCTGAAGCTACTGTTAGATACACCACGCGTTAACCAACTGAGCTACAGAGAGCCAGTCGATCAGGCAGAGCCGAAATTGTGCCTTTAAGCAAAACTTTTACCATCATGGATTTCCGAAATTCCCTTTTTCATATCTGCATAGTTTTGTATCCAAACAGGAACAAATCAAATTTTGATAAAGAAAATGAATTTTTATTTATATGAATTTTTTTAATATATCATTTTTTATAGAAAAGAACACGTATTCGTACAATACAAATTTCAGATTTTAAAACTTAAATTGCTTTAATACTCTAGATTGTTCAATTGGAATATTCGAGAATGTTCCAATAATGGAATTTTAGCTTAAAAATACAAACAGAACATTCTGTAAGTTTTATTCGTGCAAAAAGGTTTTCTTCATGGCAAGAAGTAAAGAATTGACAAATTCGCAAAAAGAACTGATTGTTAAGCTCTGAAAAGAAGGTAAAAGTTATAGAAATTTCTGAGACAACTTGAATATTACTACCATTAGTTCATTCATTGCAAGGTATAAAAACTCAAAACTGTTGAAAACCAAAGAAGAACAGGTGCTAAACGGAAGAATTCTTCAAGATCTTCGAGGAAATTAATGCGTCAAATTAAACAAAATCCAATAGTTACTAGTCAGGAATTGCAGGATGATTTGCTTTCATCAGGAATCTGTGTCACTAAACGGAAAATAAACAATGAAATTCAAACGAACAATCTAAAGACATTTTTCCCTCGGAAAACTCCACTGTTATTGAAAAGACACAGGGATGACAAGTTGAAATTCATTCGTGAATATAAGCATAAGGAGAAATCTTATCGGGAAAGAGTATTATGGACAGAAGAAACCAAAATTGAGTTGTTTGGACGTAATTCTAGAAATCATGTATGGAAGAAAGATGGTAATGTCTTCAAACAAAAGAACACAGTTCCAACAGTGAAATTTGGTGGTGGCAGCATCATGACTTGGGAATGTTTTTGTTTTTTTATACAAAAGGTACTGGCAACATATCAGTAATAAATGATAGAATGAATGCCACAGCATATCAAAATATTTTGGAAGCAAATTTGATGATTTCATTTTAAAATCTTAAAATTCCTCCTGACTGGATATTCCAACAAGATAATTATCCTAAGCACATTGCAGAATCTATGAAGAAATGGCTGACTGAAAATAATGTAAATATCCTGAAATGGCAAGTCAGTACCCAGATTTAAACCTAATCGAGAATCTGTGAGGTTATTTGAAAATTCAAATTCAATTGAGAGCTCCAAGAAACATCCAGGATCTGAAGACCATATGCGAAGAATTGAAAAACAAAACATAAAAATTTGCAAATCGTTGAGAACTACAACAAGAATTTGGTTGCTGTAGAAGTGAATAATTCTACAAAGAAATGAATTCTACAAATAAAGATTATATATTCTTTTGTTTGTATTGTATGAATACTTTTTAACCCATTAAAGTGGATAAATATTTACTTCTATTATATCAATTTTTCTGTCTTGTATGCATTATTGAAAACGTCTGACAAAGTACTGCTGTCAAGTATTTTATTTAATTTTCCTTGTGTTAAAAAATTTTAAACCTCTAAATTCATCGTCAACAACAATAACTCACCTGCAAGTTCCAAATTACAGAGAACCAATATTATTTACGAATTCACATGTCCCTTATGGAACTTTCCTGATCAAAACAAATTCATAAATAATTATATTGGCTATACTACAACATGTCGAACAAGAAGAGTCACATTACATCTTTCTGACCATAGCTCAATTAGGTCTCATTTATATATATATATATATATATATATATATATATATATATATGGAGACCTACCAAACCTCATTAGGAACATACTCGTTGATAATAAAAATATAATAGCTTCTTGCACATGTGAAAAAGGCTAAAAATAATGGAATTATTATTAATAAAAAAAGAATAGAAAAAGCAAACACTCAATAACATCAGCTATGGACACAGCCACACCGTAATGAATGTGTTTTAAAAACAAAACGTTCCTATAAGTCTAGATACATACATAAAACAAGCCATACACTCAATTAAAAATAAAAAATAAAATCATGTTTGATTACGACTAAAAGTATTGACGAAAGCGCTGGGACATACAGAACATTCGGACAATTTCTAGAATATGTCCATAAAAGAAGAAAATTATAAGAACATTAGAACAATTTACAAAAAAATCTTAACCGTAGTATCCGTTGTTATAATCCAGGTGAGTCTCATTAACACAACATAGAGTTTGGAATATGTTAAAACTGACTCACAAAAGAGCGCTCAGTGTTTATTTTCATTAACCAGAGCAAATTTTCTTTACAATTTGAATTAAGATAACTTTGCCACCTACGGATTTTAATTTTAAAATTCGGAGAATTTTTCAAACTGTTAATAGTATCAGTTAATAGTGGGATACTGGTTAGTTAACCAGTATCTCATTACAAACTGATATCATAAACAGTTTGAAAAACCCTGCGAATTTTAAAATTAAAATTCGTACAGAAAATGGTCATTAACTAAAGGTATCTTAATTCCAATTGTAAAAAGTATATATATATATATATATATATATATATATATATATATATATATATATATATTGTAATTTAAACAGCTTCCCATACTTCATACTTCTCCAATTCACTCACGTGTGGTCATGTGTGACGTCATGAGATGCGGTGCGATTTTCGCTTCTAGCACGTGTTTATCGTTGTTTAGAAAATCATCTATGTAAACAATGTATAAATAAAGGAATATATCTACATACAACGTTCAGGTATCTGTCTTCGCCCCTCTCATTTTGCCTGCTATACAATGGGCTGTTATGTCCTGTCCGTATATCCCATGGTCCATGCAGGTCATAAGATGTAACCGTTATAAAATCCAAATATCTTTAAGGCAGAAAGAGAAACAAAATATGTGAAAGAAAAGAAATCATTCAAAGTGAAAACTGAGACATTTATATTTAAATACCTTCAGATGTAAACAATTTTATACGTATAGAAACATCTCTATATAGTTCTATTAAATCTATAAAATCCTTATATTTTGATATTTCGTTGTTGAAGCCATTTATTAAGAGAAAAAATATTTCTATTTTCAGATGGGTTCATTAATAGTGATTTTATTATTATTACTAGCAGCATGACTCGGCGTTACCCGTGCTTGATTCAAAAATCGTACGACTCATACAGCAATCGTTATCACTTGACTTAAAATATTTTTGCCCTACCTTGCCTTTAAAGGAGTGCTCTTTGCCATGCTGATGTTGCCACATGCCTTACTTCTTGCCTATCCCAAACTGCGAATTTTTTTCTAAGCTCTATACTAAACATTAAATCTGTTACGAAAAAAGAACTAAACAAAATGGACACAAAACGATAAGCTTTATAAAAGGACTCGTAACTGGAAAAACCGAATGAAAAAAGAATGTTAACAACAAATACTTTTTCACATCCAACCCAGTTCTGCAAAATCAGAATCAACGTTGAGTTTAAGCAAGCGAATGAGCCAATTG